ATATATAGGTGCTGCACGTCTCAAGCAAATTGCTATATCCAGATTGCGGTATGGTCATCTGCCGTGCTGTTTTGTGCAAATGGACCATCATGCATCACGAAATAGTGGCCAGGGTTTCTGTTCATATGTTCAACTTTGAGAATCAGTTCTCTCCGGGGCTTCCTACTTCATCATCTGTGTACAAAATCGATGCGCTCCGAAATAGTATAACAGATTATTTGGTCTTCAAATTACTTCGGTATTTCATACGTATATGGAGACTACAGTCTACTGGAAAATGTCTACGCATGTTCTTGTGATTTGTAACCTTGGAGGAAAAAATGAAGGCATTTCACTTTCCAAGTCCATACTTCTAAAAAGCTGGTGAGAAGTAGCCTTCTAAAGCATACACAGATTAGAAGAGCCCTGGAGCATGGTTTTGCGCTGTCCATCAATACTTGTCCATCATAACTTGCGTACTTGAGAAGTATGCAAGTGAGACCTCATTCCTGGACATCCCGTGGGAAGGGGTTAGCAACCAAAAAGAGTGACGTACAAACATCAAAGTGTATTCAGAACATGAAGACATTAAACATGCGCCAGTTGCTAATAGTTAGGACTTGTTTCTGTAGCCGAAGATTGCAGGAATTTGTAAAACACATGAAGGGAAATGTTTAGTCGGTCAAGAAAAAAACAACAAGTGATCTAGTTAGCCCTTCTTATCTGGTAAGGTTGACTTTTTAGTCAACTTTTTCGCGATAAAATGGCCTAGGAGGAGAAATTGGAAGGTGAGGTCGAAAGTCCACTTGCCGTGATCGGTGTGGTAGAATAGAAGAGGGATTATACTGAAAGGCGTTGATCAATTGAGGATGGCGTTGAGCGCACAAATTTTCGTTCAGCAGGATCGCAGAAAGAAGGGAACAAATCCCAGACAACAGACGGTTATTTACGGTGAAATGACTATGAGACCAGTAGAGAAGTAGCCGTTGTGATGGAGAAAAGAATCCCCGGGTTGGAGTAGCTACTCGGTGTTTCTGCGGTTACGCTTTCCTTTCCTTTATTTAGGAGTCTCAAAGTGTTCCGAAGTATTCCAAAGTGGTCAAGCCTTTGGTTGAAAATGGTTTTCATGTCGGTTCCACGGGTTTGAAATACGTCGGTAATATTCTATTCAAGATTCCATTTGGTCATCCAGTGTTCCAACTACTTTTTCACCACAACCCACTTTATGCCATCTGTCCCCCTGAATGCTATTCGTAACTACTTTGTTTTATGGGTTCTTGATTAAATTCACTGTCTCGCGGTCACACACAATGGTTCTTTAAGAAAGATCACCAGCGTACGGTTGGGTCATCACAATACCCTGAAGTGCATTGGAATCTGAAGGAGTGCTTTAGTCAGTTTTACACTCAGCACGCCTTTCGACACGGTAACCAGCGAACTTTACAGTCAGCGTCTTTTCTTACTTTGTCTCAGGCCAGCTGAACATGGTTCAAGTGCAGATTTTTGTCTGCGAGGGCTACCATGTACTGGGATTCTGTAATTCTTTGTATTGCCCTGGTATTAGTCTCAACTTATTGGGCGAGGCGCTTCACATCTGGTGGTTTAATTCGCTTCCTTTTACCATCTCTGCGTCACTTCACAGATCAGATGTCCAGGTTTCATATCCACTGCGAGTGTACGCTAAGAGATCGCCTCTTAGCGCCGTTGTTTTTAACATCAGTTGATTTGAATTGGCTCTTCATCTATCCACAATGATACGTCTCTGGGTGGTAGCGTGAGTCACTGATGAAGTACGAGGCTACCATGGTTCGAAGCTCGGGAAGAGGGCTTTTCCGTCAACCAGAGCGACAAAGACCACTTTGTGATAAAAACACAAAGAATCAGCCATGTCAACGTTGAACAGGTATGAGCGAAGTTTTGCTATCTTAACACCGAAAAGGGGACACTGGTACAGCTGACATTAGACAGGCAACGCAAAAACAAAGATTCCATGCTAACAGACAGCGAACATTAGACCCACACTTTTGACCACATGCAATGGTTGTTTGTCTGCGAGTCAATTATCTAGGCTGGAATATGTGGAGGTGACTAACCGTATTCAGACACTCAGACAGCATGCTAACACAAAGGGTTTTTAAACCTCCTTAGAAGGATACAACAGTCCCAACGTGATATGCTCTCCTTAATGTGATTTCATCTTGAAAACCTCATATTAGGGCTTAGCACCAGTTTCTTGGAGTTGAGTCCTGTTTGGACTTGTCAATCACCTATGCGTCGACAGAAGAGTTAGATTAATTGGAGGTAAAACAGTGCTGAAAGCACCTATCATAAGCCTAGCTTGGACGTTCATACAGTAATTTACAGTGATGCTCCTTATCCTCACTCAGAGAACAAAGCTTGCCTTTATATTACGATCCCCTTTAATATAAGCAAAGATTGGTTGGTCCTGCAACGCTGTTAAAGATCGGCTTCGTTTCATATTCTTGTGTTCGTATGATCGATTTAGTGTGTATACAACAAGCTCCTGTGTGCAGGTATGAACCGGTCATTTTGAGATATATAGACTGAGTTGTAGATTTCTTGGAACCAGGATATTTGAATTGGGAAATCTATGTTGAATTCCTTATATATAAGTAAAACAATGCACCCTGAAGGTCAAAGTCAATATAGATGGGGCCCTACCGTACCGCACACAGAAAGATACGAATTTTAAGCAAATATGATGTAACTCAGCCAGTAACTCTTCATTTCGGCAAGTGATAATGAATTCCCATACAGTTTTGTCTCGGTTGTCCTTCGGTCTAGAGATCAACCATACTAAAGGCTTGCCCCATGGGGTCAAGCTTGGTTTAATCTAATTCGAATAGATCTCCCTTGACCGTGAAGCTTTTCACTGGGGCTCTCATCAGCCAATTGGGATTTAAAGACAAGGACAGTTCAGTGATACAAGGCAACCATGGCCTAATAACAAGTTGATTCAGTTAAAATGACGTGTAATCATGCCAGTTGCGGTCTGTTGACGTCTGCTGCGTTACACATTTGTAAGATGTGATACTAACCAAACAGTATTATATGAGGAACGAATGCGCAATATGTAAAAAAAAAGATTAATCGCGCTTAAAGCCCATCAGAATGAATAGGACAAAGATTTCATATCAGAAGGATAAAGATTGGTTTACCATGAAGTTGAATGGGAACTTCCTTTAGATTTTCTTTTGGAAAATTTCATAGTACAAGATAGTTCAGTAGAGAGTTTGCAAGAACAAGAAAAATCATGCGTATCTACTCCCAGTGATATAAGCGTTAAAGAAGAGAAAAAGTTGGACGTGTGTTGAAGATAAAACCACCTTTGGGTGAATTCCCACGTACAGTTTTACGAACCTGATCGCTTTGATGTGAATATCTGATATGGAAGTCTGATTGCAAATCACAGGAATATTTCATGCATAATTGCCTACCCGTGGAAGCAAACCAGGAGTTGTTGATCCCCGGATGATTAGATACCAAACTTTTCATTTCAGTAAGTGAAATTGGCTTCCCATACTGAAGAAGCACAGAAGATGGAAGGCCAAAAACGAACCACTCAACTTACAGTTGCGTGACTGAACGAGCTGCAGAAACGGCATGAAAAATCCATTTTCAGCAGCGAGCAATCAGCTCACCGCCGCCAAATCAAAACTCACTTCCGGATGGTCTGACGCCATAGGGTTACGTAGTCGCTCGGAGCAAACGAAAATGCCCGCACCTCAACTGCGACATGTCGGCAACGCTTGGGCGAAATCGGTAAGTTGGCTGACAGATAAACCCGATCGATGCGCTGGCGTTTGACAATTTGTTCGACAGACTATCTTGTCTTTTCTTTCCGGATTCCCCGAACAAAGCAAGTCACCGTGGGGAAGTACCTTTTTAAAAAAGTTGGGATATAATATTGTCTTCATCAGTCTCAGTGGAAAAAGTAGAAAACCTTCGCTATGATATGCAACCACTTATTTTACTTTAGTTCACTATCTTCAATCGCATATAGTAACCTGGGCGAATAAATAGGATAAAGGAAACGCTTACATGTCGCCGCGAACGTTCTCTTTGAGTTCTAGTGAGATAGACCATGGTTTTTTGGTCGCTAAGAATACTTAAACCTAGTAGGATTCGTTGCAATACGAAATAAACCGTATTTACGATTCTGAGAATTAACAGACCACATTTACTTGTTGCCAGACCTTTATTCTGAATTCGGCTGTTTCACGCGTCTTTTAAAGAACCGTTTATAATCCCTTGCTTTGAGCTTGTCCTCATCTGGAAATAGGGATCACACACTAATCGATAAAACAAAAACTTCCACTGAAACAATTTGCTGTCAGTATTGTAAAGAAAAAACATTTTGTAATGCTGGATATTCGTCACACGTGACAACTGCTAACAATGTTTACACATCAAATGTTTCAGTTCCTCCGTCCCGCTCTGCTAAGGTTTTTTCGAGCGTGGGGACAGCTTCTGCTATTGCAGTGTAAGTTGACTAAAGATGTGAGTTACTTTCAACCACATAGCAAGGATAGCCCGTCGTTCGTGGACCCTTTTTGAATGAGTACAATCCGGTCCACTTCGAACGTAATGAGGTCGACTGCTTGTGCGGTCTGCTTGTGATGAAGTTTTACTCCGTTAAGCTTAGGTGTTTCCCGCTCTCCCACTAGAAGATTCCGTTAGCATGGGGAAATTACGATGCACAAAAATCCAATCACATTAATTATTTCCTTTTAAGTTTCTCAGAACCAGGTAATGTCGTTTTCATGATGCATAAACTAGGAATCGTCTCTTCCTTTGGATTAGACACCACGAAGTTGCTAGGTGACTTTTGGCCACATGGCCATGTTGAGACAGTATAGTGGGGGTCTGCGAGAGCTGTTGACGGAGAGGTCCCTGGTTCGAACCCATCTTTGGATTTGCGACTATGGCTGCTTGAGCTGGCGATATCGCGACATTTTCAGTTGAATGAAGCTACGCACCTGAAGAGTACCATAACAAAAGTATTAACTCTGATGCTGGTCGTCTGCTGACACCCACCAGCCGGTGTAAAACAATGGAAAGTTTGAACTAATTGTCACCAACACATAGTTGTCTATTATGTTAAATTTCACCGGATTTTTACAGTATGGACAACGTAGAACCCCAGAGCTTGAGCAACTGCGGCATATTGTCCCTACAGGAACCCCTCAGGTGGGCAGAAAGAGATCCTATGTTCCAGCCAAAGGTCAAATTTCCCAATGAGTCCCAATAAGGAAGAAAGACCTCGCGTCAGTAAACTTTTATCGGATCAATCCGGTAGGATTCTTAACCCATGTCTCGTTAATCAACGATGAAGATTCTGATGAGATACTGACTATTCGAGGTAGTCAGGTTGTCTGAATGGGTCAACAGCTGTTGGGATCGCCATGTCGGTAAGGCGTTGAGTGTGTGGGGAAACTCGGTAAACATATGCACAGCCATAAATAAATAACTCGGTAAACATATGCACAGCCATAAATATTCCATCATCAGAATGGCCAATGTAAGTGGACAAACCAACCTTGATTACTCATCTTCAAACTAACACAATAAGTTAAGCCAGACATTGAATTCGAATTTGTTCGTCACCTCATTACAGTTGCTAATCAAAAGTTCAAAAGACAAACCTACTTCACCTGACCGAACGCGCCGTGGTAACAAGAGATGTGAACATCGCGTACGTGATTCAGGGGTGAACTATCACATTGTCACTAATACGGTGACAGGTCAAGACCTAAGTTAGTCGTATCTTCGGAGTCCAAAGTAAAAGGTGCAACTGATTTCAGAAACAATGAAGTTGGGGTAAACATGCTGGCTGGAAGTGTTTGGAACGCGACGTTTATATTCGTTGCTCTGGGTTTCGTGAACTTGGAGCGGGTTGTCGTGTGTCATCAGTGTACATGTTACGTCTTAATTGGTGTATAGTTCAAACGACGTTGGTGACAGTCGTGCAAAAAAAACGAATGAAGCGACCGAACTCATAATAAACCTCTGGCAACAAATGAAAGCATTTTGTGAATTCACGAAAAAAGTGGATTTGGTACATTTCGTTATGAGACTACAGCTTATGGACTCAGGTATTATTTGTCGTCGAAAGCCATATTGATTTGGTTTGTTAGGGAAATCCGGAAAGAAAAGACAAGATAGTCTGTCGAACAAATTGTCAAACGCCAGCGCATCGATCGGGTTTATCTGTCAGCCAACTTACCGATTTCGCCCAAGCGTTGCCGACATGTCGCAGTTGAGGTGCGGGCATTTTCGTTTGCTCCGAGCGACTACGTAACCCTATGGCGTCAGACCATCCGGAAGTGAGTTTTGATTTGGCGGCGGTGAGCTGATTGCTCGCTGCTGAAAATGGATTTTTCATGCCGTTTCTGCAGCTCGTTCAGTCACGCAACTGTAAGTTGAGTGGTTCGTTTTTGGCCTTCCATCTTCTGTGCTTCTTCAGTATGGGAAGCCAATTTCACTTACTGAAATGAAAAGTTTGGTATCTAATCATCCGGGGATCAACAACTCCTGGTTTGCTTCCACGGGTAGGCAATTATGCATGAAATATTCCTGTGATTTGCAATCAGACTTCCATATCAGATATTCACATCAAAGCGATCAGGTTCGTAAAACTGTACGTGGGAATTCACCCAAAGGTGGTTTTATCTTCAACACACGTCCAACTTTTTCTCTTCTTTAACGCTTATATCACTGGGAGTACATACGCATGATTTTTCTTGTTCTTGCAAACTCTCTACTGAACTATCTTGTACTATGAAATTTTCCAAAAGAAAATCTAAAGGAAGTTCCCATTCAACTTCATGGTAAACCAATCTTTATCCTTCTGATATGAAATCTTTGTCCTATTCATTCTGATGGGCTTTAAGCGCGATTAATCTTTTTTTTTACATATTGCGCATTCGTTCCTCATATAATACTGTTTGGTTAGTATCACATCTTACAAATGTGTAACGCAGCAGACGTCAACAGACCGCAACTGGCATGATTACACGTCATTTTAACTGAATCAACTTGTTATTAGGCCATGGTTGCCTTGTATCACTGAACTGTCCTTGTCTTTAAATCCCAATTGGCTGATGAGAGCCCCAGTGAAAAGCTTCACGGTCAAGGGAGATCTATTCGAATTAGATTAAACCAAGCTTGACCCCATGGGGCAAGCCTTTAGTATGGTTGATCTCTAGACCGAAGGACAACCGAGACAAAACGAAGAACAATGTGATATACCAAATCAACTGCAACAACTGCAACAAATTCGACGTCGGACAAACTGGG